GAATTAGAGACACCGACGAGGCCAGGGAAACGCGTCGCCAGGCCCGTGTGTGCACGAAGACACGAGCGTTAACGCACGGAATAATGCGTTTTCGCCTCGTAATGTTTCTCGATCCTAAACTTTGCCCGCGAAATGATACCGGCCGATGTCTCAGGTGGCGAAGCGGATAGAAACGTCACGTAGGTGATCCCACGGGAGTCATAAGCCAGAAGTTGAATACTTCCGGTTGGTCGCATTTTCATACCGACGAGGAGATTTTACGGTAACGTTCAGCCGAATTTGTATGGAAATTTATGCGACTTGGAGGCGTAATAAGGCCCAGGAACGCGGGGCTGTGAGTCGCGACATCGACTCTCGTGCAACTTTGACGGCCATTTAATCTCGCAATCTCTCGCGTGAATAATTCGAATATTCACCGTGTTTGATGGAACTCGACGGTGTTGGTTTTTTGAAAAATTGTTACGTTTTACCACAAGCGGAAGTACTTTTTCACGATTATCTAATTTGTTTAGTTAATTCAGTTTATTACGTAATTTATTCAATTGATCCAATTTACATTTATTTACAACGTTTTCACACTTTCTGAGTTAATCGTTCGTAGAATTCCATTGTGGCCGAGGCTGACTAATCTTCAAGATATTTTCACAGCTCCACGTTATCGTGGAAGATACTACATTTGAAGTATTTTAGAGAAAATAAAAAAAGATACTAGCGCCGGCGAAGCGAAATCTAGCGATCGACGCAGATACTAAGGAACTTCTCACTTAATATCCCGAAGAACTATTTTTATTAAATTTTCATCGCAAGGTCTGGTATTATTGCGCTAAAACGATATCTACAAACGTATATCGACCCGATACCTGTTATACACGAAAATTGTCGATAAGCTGAGCGGAGTTTAACATCGTTAAAATTTTATGAACACTCAAACCCTTTGGAAACATTGTTTGAACTTTTATAAACACTAAAACCTTCCTAGCAGGCCAATAAATTTTAATATTTATTAAGATTTGAGTAGCTCCTACACATACTAAAATTCTCGTGCTTCTGCCACTCCACCAACCGATCAGCTTTTACAATCAGCAAAGCTATAAATACTTGAACGAATTCTAAAACCTGTTTCGGTTGATCCAATAATTGCAGAAGTTTTACACTCAACATTTTTAATAAACTTGGAATAATTTTCCAACCATCCCGAACAGTACTATGTTTCTCCACAAGCAACGAATCTAATGTACGGTATAGACGTGCAGCTGACAGCATCTTCTATCGCCTATTACGCAGAACGAGACCTGAATTTTAATACAACGAATTAAAGGAGCAGAAAACAGTTGGCTTCCGACCGCGAATCTCTTGCGTTCAAACCACAGAACGATTTCGAGCAGGCAACTGTCCATCCAGCAAGTTCCTGTGACGTACGAAAGTTTGTTGTACGAGAGCCGCGAAAATTCAACTGGAAATTACCGTGAACATCGGCCAGCATTTTCTTCCACCGAGGTTCCAACGAAGTTTCCATTTTCCTTTACGAACGCAACTGTCCGCTCGCGACGTACTACGTTCGGAACACGAAAACACACGTGAGATCTTTGTTGATAAAGCTTCTAACACGATCGGTTGCTGTTGATTAGAAAATTAACGTTTTGCGAATAAATAATCAACGTGCATGTTGAATATATCAAACGAATGTTAGACATTCCGTATGAAATAGAAAACAGATTTCGTTCAACATTCAGACAATAGACATCTTCGTTTAACATTTATAACGTATAGGTAATACCACAGATCATATAATTTATTTACTTTGATCGCCTACTTTATTCGATATTATATTAATAAACATAAAAAGAAAATAGCGACTTTTTTTCTTTTCTCTCGTTCCTTTCTCTTTTTCTATCATCGTTTCATCACAGCATAAGGTTCTAATCGATTTTTCTGCAACAGTGTAAAAACGTGTGTGAATGCGGTAGCTCTAATAGAAAAATTGATAAAACGACAAAAATACGTAACGTACAGGCACGAGGTAGTTTCGTTGCGAAACACAGCCGAGTATTTCTGAGTCGTAATATGAAATTGATATTTTATTTGTCCGTTCATGTCACTATTTAAAATTGAATTTCTTCGTACTTTTCCTTTTTTCTTATATCGAGGATGTAGCGTAATAACGTGTAACTGAACATTCTGATTGTAGGTAGAAAACGGCAAATGTAAAGCTGATATCAAATGAAACCTGATTTCTCCAATAAAGGCTGTACGTGTGTGTGTGCGCGCGCGTGTGTGTGCGTGAGATAAGAAAATAAATAATAAGAGTCGAATTTTTAATTTCGCATGTTCGTTCCAGAATTTGTATGAAAGGATTGTGAAAAATAGAAAAGATCGCGAGGGAAGAGGCATTATATTCTCGAGCTCTTTGTATTCTTACGAATATAAGTTTTCAATGGAAACCAATGTCGAAGAATAAAGACAAGCACCGTCGAAGGCCGATCTAAAATCTTCAACAACCGTATTGAAGATCGTCGTTTCAAACACCAAATTTAAAAAAACAGATTGAATATTGATATTACTCGTAACTAAATTAATTCGCACAGCATATTAACCACAGAAATATCAACCATAAACAAATCTCGTAATTTCTCGATATAAAACCCAGCGCAAAGTCTCAGGTTATTCGCTATCTAAATTTATCTTGAAATTTTTCTACAACACACAGCATACAAGAAGCAAACGTACTATCAAAAGAAAAAGATACAGCAGCTATAAAAATTATGTTTCTACCAGATTCTGCATTTCACATTTGCAGTCATCACGAGAGTACCATTAAACGGTACAAAATCCAATATACCTGGTTCTAATTAATCAGCGTGTAAATGCTACTGACAAATATTCGTGCAACGACGTGCTAATACTTTTCGTGCACCTACCTTCAGACGTTCGAAATTCGCAGTATTCATTTTCCATCGAGTTCACGTTCCGTTTGCAGCAAGTTCGACCAGGATGCCGGTATCGGCGCACGAAGGTCGACAGGACACAAATCTCTACCGTCCACGATTGTGTAATCTTGACGTTGGTCGATTTGGAGGCCTGTATCGATTCGTTTGGAAGGCCAGAAGGGCGCGGGACCATCGCAAGACTCGATTCCGGTAAATTACACGGCAGCTTTCGAACGGCAGTTACGACGAGCCCCGTCCAAGTGGATCTATAGGCAGACGGGTGGTCGAAGTTGCGAGTGGTCGGCCAATTTGCGAATCTCGAGTAGGTATTTCGGTCGTGCAGATGCTCTTCCACTATCTATACAACCGGTTTGAAAACGTTGCGCCGCTGTCGGGCCGGCCAATAATGAAGGAACGCGTAGCCAGCAACTAGGAGGGTAACTAAGACCACCCGAATGGTGTCTAAGGATATTGGAACTTAAAGGCAATTGCGGCGTGCACGATTTCCCGTCCTCGAGAAGAAGAGTATGATCTCATAAGGAAGCTTAGCCGGTCCTCGATGAACCCTCGAGAAACCTAGGAGAACTCTGATATAGTTTCCAGCTCGTTCGCTGACCAACCTACACGTCGATTTTCGCTTCGCTTTCGACCTTACGGATGTATTTCGTTGATAATGGCCCGGGAGAAGTTGTTGGTATTTTGCGAAATATTTTTAGAACGGCTGGAAGAGCGTAAAGGTTTCCGATAAAATTATGTGTACATAGCGTTTGAAGAAGTTGGAGTCGAAATTCAGAAGTACGCGGTACTCGTAGAGAAAAATAAGAAATTATTACTACACGTGCGTCCAAATTATTATTATTATTATACTAGTTTTAAAAATCGTTATATTTGCGCGATATATGTAATTCACATAATGTACTCGCAAAATGAATTACAGAAAATCGTACATAATCTATAGAAACCATCCGTGTCCAGAGTATTTAGTACTCAAAGGGTTAAATAGGTTTAACGTGCACGCCAATATACCAGTAGAAAACACTCGACAGGAAACATCAATCCTGCAAAATGTTACAGTAGTATCTTCCTTGATATGAATACCCAAACATACAAGTATATATCGCATACTCTAAAAATCTGAAACCATTTTCATATAATATGCTCTTCCCGGATCGTACAAAGTACAGTCTACACGACATATCTTAAGCTCCAAATGCCGCATGTACTCTACCAACTGGACCTACGTCGTGTTGCATCTATCCTAGGCAAAGCAAGAAACACAATACCTCGAACAAGAAATCAGAACGACGTGTACGTCCCGGGAACATTAATTAGAACGTACGTGGAAATTCAGTCGCTGCTGGTTTAATTAAGCCATACCCACGTAGATCAGTTCTGCGTTACGTCCTTTAACCCTATTACATTAACACTATTTAACACTATTTTAACACTATTTACAACTGAAAAATTGTACAAAGCATAGTAACGAGAAGACAGCTCCAATATCTAAAATATATATTTACGTCCAATCAGATATATTGGTTTTCTCATACATCTACAGCTTCTTAAAAAATTGCAATCTAATAAGTTAGCACAATGTCGAAAGAATATACATATGTACTTTTTGCCTATACAAATATCGTAGATACGACCGAAACATTCCAAGCGTGATATTTCAAATATTTCACGAAACATGACCCGAAAAAACAGGGATGCAAATATATCGAAGAATCGTAAGAACTGGGCCTTTTTCCATCATCATTTCCTATTTTATTTTGCAAACTTACTACAGTCTACTGTGTGTAGTTTTATTCATTCGTTTCTTAAATTAAAAAATGATCTCAACGTGGAAATCTCACTTACTTCAATAAAAAAAAAGCGCAAAACTCTATTATTAACAATATTGATCGAGCATAAATTCATAGGACGTTTCAAAAGTGATTTGATTTTGTCTGACTATGAGTTAGTTTTCCTTCGATTAATCCACTGAGAAGTGGAACTGCCTTCTGATTGCAGCACTTCCCTCAATTGGGAACAGGTACGTGGACGACAGAGAGAAGTTGGTCGTAATCCAACACACTTTCCAGTTTAAATAAGAAACTGGCCAGATACTTGGAGTGGATAAGCAGAAATCGGTGGCCTCGAGGTAAGTTTAGAGTCGGGACAGGATCGATCGACTTCGTTCCAACAGTGCAGGCTAGGCAAAGGTTGTCGGACACCCCGTATATGTACGGCCACATACCAAGACGGGCTACTCGGTAGCTGCGTGAGATACAAGGGGTTGTATATCAAGGAGCCACGCCTAACACGAGAACCACTTCCGGTCTAGACACGCGAGCTTGCTTGCCTGCCAACCCAGCCCCAGCCTTGAGCGTCCAATCGGTTCTCTAAATACGTCGGCATTTACAACCTCCTCCTATCCAACCTATTCCTACGACCTGGCTCAGAATTGAGTTTTCTCTGCCGCCGGGAAAGCAGAACGCGATCCAACTCACGCTCGCGCTGATATCTTTACGTGACTACGCGCCGATTGAAATCTTGCGGAGCAACAACAACACTCGACGTAGGATTGGTCGCGATGGGTAACGCTCTTGGCGAGGAGACCTATGCACGTTCAGAACGTGTCAGAGGTTTGTTTGATTTGTTCTGAACTCGTGAGATTCGATTCGGTTGGTTGCACAGTTGAATTACTTGCGGAGAAAGCGAGGAAAGGAGTGCAGTGATCGATTAAGTTTAACTCGTGACTGCTTAGGTGAAGTCGTTTAACTTTCGGCAATTTTCACTTCTCTAGTGATGCGCGAAGTATTCGTGTTGTGAATGATCATTCGTATTGGTTTACTATACCTATTAAACGATAGTTTGACTGATTTTTAAAGCAGGAATTAAGTATATCTTATAGTAGTATCTTTTGTGTATGTGAGTGTGTGTAACTAGATATTTGTACGTTTTTGAGTATTTCTGTGAGGTGCTATTAACGTAACAAAATAACTGTGCTTGTTACAGTTAGAGAACATTGCCAAGCAAAGTACTAAAGTACCAAAGCACTAAAAATTACTTCCCCAGTACTTTAGTACTTGGGCACTTCAGTACTTTAGTACTTCAACTTCAACTTCAACTTCATCTTCAACTTCAACTTCAACTTCAACTTCAACTTCAACTTCAACTTCAACTTCAACTTCAACTTCAACTTCAACTTCAACTTCAACTTCAACTTCAACTTCAACTTCAACTTCAACTTCAACTTCAACTTCAACTTCAACTTCAACTTCAACTTCAACTTCAACTTCAACTTCAACTTCAACTTCAACTTCAACTTCAACTTCAACTTCAACTTCAACTTCAACTTCAACTTCAACTTCAACTTCAACTTCAACTTCAACTTCAACTTCAACTTCAACTTCAACTTCAACTTCAACTTCAACTTCAACTTCAACTTCAACTTCAACTTCAACTTCAACTTCAACTTCAACTTCAACTTCAACTTCAACTTCAACTTCAACTTCAACTTCAACTTCAACTTCAACTTCAACTTCAACTTCAACTTCAACTTCAACTTCAACTTCAACTTCAACTTCAACTTCAACTTCAACTTCAACTTCAACTTCAACTTCAACTTCAACTTCAACTTCAACTTCAACTTCAACTTCAACTTCAACTTCAACTTCAACTTCAACTTCAACTTCAACTTCAACTTCAACTTCAACTTCAACTTCAACTTCAACTTCAACTTCAACTTCAACTTCAGCCTCAACTTCAGCTTCAGCTTCAGCTTCAACTTCAACTTAACTTCAACTTCAGTACTTTGGTATCTTGGTGCTTTGGTGCTTTAGTACTTAGTGTTTAGTGTTAGTGTTAGTGTTAGTGTTAGTGTTAATAGCACGAGACTTAAAGGACAGTGTTGTTTCTGTTACAAAACACGCACGTTTCGTGTTAATTGGTGAAGTAACTTTACATGTGAGAACGCCGAATATAATTTCTCTTTAATTGACAGAACGTCGAAATCTTTAACAAATAATTTTCATCTCATTCGATGTTTAGATCGTATTAAAATCAGTTTTAGTATCATCGAAAACAAGTTACGTAATATCGATATTTTTCTTAACGTAGACAAAAATTGAATTCTCCATCTTCCATTATCAGTAACTGAGACAAACGTTACCATGTTGGGAATCAGATGTTCGGGACAACGTCTCGTTACGATACTCGCGACGTTGATTCTATTCGTGCCATTCGATTACGTGGTTATTTTCCTGACATACGCTCTTTTAATCCGGGGTGTGGAGAACTTGAGGGAAGGAGCAAAGGCATACTCCTCATCGGCAGAGATGCGCGGCTTTTATCCGACTTTATTCCCGAAAACATTACTAAGTAAATCGAAAACGTTCTAATATGTAGACCGAACTGCTTCAAATTTTAGTAACAATTTCTTTACTTCCAATTCACGCATAAATGCATAAACTGAATTACTATCGACGATAAAAAGATATCTTCTTTTAAGACACCAATGAAACGTACCAGAACTATGTATTTCTATCAAAAAATTTCATCCGAAAATAGAAAATCGTATTCCTGAAATTCCAGCAAAAGTATAAATAACAAGTAAAAGAATTAGAAAGAAAAATAACCGATGATATTTGGAGAAGACAAAAGAATTATTGCTCGACTATCCTACCTACCATTGCGCGCTACTAAACCACGTAAGGTAAAACGAATCACAAAATAAGCAATCTTTCTTCATTCCGTCGCCACTCCTTGACGTTACAAACGCGAAAATCAATAGATCTAAGCGCAAAGTGCATGTAACGTGCCAAGAATGAAAATGAACAGAAATAAATGGAAAGAGATCGCATTACCGAATACGTAATATATACATACATATTCCTTTTGCTTGTTAAAGTGCCGTCTCCGAGCGGATTACATCTCCTTTTTATACATGGAAATGGAAACACATATCAATCGTGTGTCTTCTATTTGCCGAATCAAACCGTTCTATGTTTCCCTTCTCTCTGTGCAGATGGAAAAGCAACCCAGTCTCCGGGGAGCTCTTTTATGGACTTTGCTGCGACTGATGCTTTCCAAATAGTTTGGATGGCAATCCAAACCAATAGCATGGGACAGAATAGAATGAGGGTCAGAGCCGCGTTCAAAATGGAGCTTGTTTGGAAAATTCATTGGCAGTTATGCAACGAAAAAGTTAGCTGTCTGCAATATATTGAAACGATGCGCTCCTTTCTTTCGTTATTACGATCAAAAGAATTAAAAGCTTGTGCGCCGCTGCTGCAATTGAATAGACGTTGGCAATAATTAACGATAATTGCAACCTCTTTTCGGTTATTTTCGATTCACTATCTTTCGATCGTTAAAAATGTTTTTCATATTTTAGAATACTTTGTCTCTAATAGATAGAAAATTTCCTAAAAATTTGAAATATTTTTTTTTTTTTAGTACGAAAGAATAAAAAACAAAATTTCTGAAATTGTGGAATATCTCTTGTTTAATTTGTAAAAGAAAAAAAAGCGAAAAATCGTTATTAATATTCGCATCTTTCCATTTCAACTTTATTGAACCAATTACAAAAATTGGAAAACTATATCCGTGCTGAAATCACGTTATTTCTCTAAAATTTTCTCGGAAACGTGTGAAAGAGACATTGTAAATGTTAGATCTTCGTAACGCTGCAGAAACGAAGTTCTATTTAAAAATGTCAAAAAAATAGATATGATACGCTGCCTCTCGAAAATCTGTTTTGAAGTTCGCGCATCGATTTTTATTGACTTTTAAAAATTGAGTTTATATCGGTTTTGATAATGTTGTAACGTTGCAGATCAATTTCTACAGAAATTTTATTTTGCTTTTACTGGTGATTGCTACTACGGGAAAATATTTTTAAAACGCATTAATAGCGTTTGAATATTCCGGCAGTTTCATCTGGATTATCGATTTTATTTAAATTAGCTTCTACTTCAAAATTAAGCTGGGAAGGTAAACTGATACGCATTGGAATTACAAAATTATGTACATAATACTTTGAATTCGTTCTATCAAATAAACATATATTGTAGGTTATAACTTTGCTATAATCACATAAAAATAAGAGAACATTTAGACAGTAAGACAAAATATTTGTATTATTATAATGAAATTATTATAACATGCTAAAAGCTATCAACTATTGCAACGTTTCAAAATTATATATATATTCCAAAGCTTTCAAAATATTGCTAAAAAAGCAAGAATTTACATCAGTGTATGAAATAAATGATTAAATTAGTACTGACTTAATGGATGTGCTACGCAAGCATCAGTAATGAACTCAAAAAATTAAAAAATATTGTCCAGGTTATAGGCCGAGTATCGACCAATCGACTAATTTGCAACTAACCACATCAGATAGCCATAAATTCACAGAAACAAGAAATAGAAAATACTCAAAAAGCTGTACAATATCGAAAATAAAACATCATGATAAATATCAAGTATCATCAAATACAAACGCCATGAGGTAGATCAGTCAATCTACTATTATGCATCACGTACAACAAAATTAATTACGATCATCGTATCATTACGAGGAATAACAATTATCATAATTAAATATAATAAGGAGGTACGTAACATGTTGCTCAAGACATAAGAAAAAGAATAGAACTTTTGCTACGTTAATGGCTAAAAAAGAAAACTGTTACACGAACATCTTGTTCTCTCTTAAAGAAATAAATCCATTTCATTCGCTTCGAATTAATAATCACATTAAAAATCACTATGAACCAACTGCTCCATTTCTAAGCCTTTTAAATGGAAGTAATTTTAAATAAATAAATAATAAATAAATAGCAGATTTCCATAATGAGCGGTCAGAAAATTGGACCAAACAATATCTCAGCGAAATAAAATAAAATTTCACATCAAGCCGTTACGATAACTTCAAAAGTATGTAAAAGATACCTACCTATTAATGTAGCAACATTCTACTTACATAATTTGAAAATCTGGAGACACTTTGACATACTTTTGCACCGCAAGTAATCACTTTTCACCGACAAAAATGGGAAAGATCGGCATAATTTGCCGCGTAAACTATTCATCGGTTTGGCACTGATACACATAGGTACGTACATAGACCAAGTTATCGTGGACAACGCAGCACAATCGGACGCGTAGAGGATCGGAGTCGAAATAATCCGACGCATGTTTGTCGAGAAGAATGCAATTATGGGCCGATACAATGGCCAAATTGACGTTCCTCTGAAAATTGTTGCCGACATGATCACATAACGTTTACCGATGCGCCCGATGGCGCGACATTCCTTTTAAACCTTAAAAACCGAAAGTTTTTACCAAAATACGAATGAATTATTAAAAAATTATTAAAAACCGATTTATTAAAAAATATGAGCGCAAAATATCGTTAAAATTTGCGCTAAATTCGATTTAAAGGTGAAACAATTTGTACCGTTTACATGGAACCAAAATTTCGACAAAAGACGAGTATTCCTACATGAAACGTATTGAAGGAGGAAAGGTTTAAATGATTATTTTGTTAAAAGATATTAAAGAGAAGAGCAATTTAATATCGCTCTTCTTATCCTGCTTATTCATAGATCGTAGTTTATGGTGATGTGACTTTATTACACGACACTATTTAATGCATCAGAAAGTTATAATATACAATAAGAGTAAAATATTTTGTAAAATGTTATCATTGCATTCGACATTGCTAGTACCACTATTATCCTGAAAGTTGATTTCGATGATTCTTCTTCAGCATTGTACAACAAATTACCAATATCTGTATCTTAATACCATTAGTCCTACTTGGAAAAATAACTTCATTGCTTCGATTACTAATGAAACTTAAGCTGATGGGAAAGAAAAGTATACTATTTGTAAGAAAATATTAAAAACCGAAATCCAATAAATTTGCGTGAATCTAGTTCTGGTTTTCCTTTTCCGAAACCACAGTCCACAACATAATCAACGACGAAATATAGCAAACTCGATCGAACACATATAACAAATCTTACCTAGACCTCACCTGTACATAAATCCTGTAAAGCACGTACATACCGACACACAAATTACCTGACCGTGAATATGTAAGTCATCCGACATGAAACTAATTCTATGAGAAAGATTCCGCAAATACAAGGGACCGATTAAAGCCTTGTCCCTAAATTACGTTTCATCTGGCGGTGTCCAAAGTGGACTCGACCGCGTACCGACCGACCCGGAAGTTAAGAGGCCGCAATTAAGCGTCGTTGAATCGATGAAATTATCCTTTTAAAGCGGCGCGAATCGTAGCAGCTTAGCAGTGCGATCGAACCCGTTGAAACGGAATTACAGAGAGCGTGGTGGTGAGGTCGCGTGTCGTGAGATAGGCCAGGAACCCTTGTGGCGTCCGGCCGCCATTGGTTCTCCGCAGTGGCTTGTGGGGGTGGCTACCCTTAAAACGTCAAGAAGCCCAGGTGGTCCGGCACGATATCGCGCTAACTCAATCAATGCGCTATTCCTTCCTTGGTATCAGAGATTCTTATCTGACGTCACTTTCTCGGCCTTCAGGGGCTCGAATCGTGTTCAAAAGGGGACCAACGGCCCAGGGATAAAAGAACACGGAATGATTAACAGCTGTTCTTAATCTTAGAATAGTTTGAACGTCTCTGAGATAAGGCCAAGGGATTGTTAATGATTTGACGAGAGGTGGGAAAATGTTCGTGCCTTCTTATTTGCAAGATATAAAGTATCGAATCTCGTAAGGAGACGAAGGTGGATGTCAATGGATTTTTAAGTGAGTGCAGATTCGTTTGATAATTTCTCATAATAGTACAATTTAATAACACGTTCTTTCCGATGAATGCGATTTTTTATGGATTTGAAAAGCGAGTATGGGCTTATTTTTATAATTTTTAAATATTTTAATAGAAACGTAGATGAGTTATTTGTACAAAAATATGTCATGCAAATGTGATATGTTCGTTTAACAGTGGCATATGGAGGAATTTAACTTCTAATTCTTTGGTTCGTCAAAATTGTGCTCATAAAGATATGGATTTGCGTAAAAGTCTACTTACTGTTACACGATATGTCAGTGGCTGCTCGATCAAGTCTCAAATGTTGTATCCTTAAAGACTTTATATTTATATATTATCAAATATTATTATTATTATATATTAAAGAAATTATATTTTTCAATCTCGTGTGTCAAAACACAGAATTCTTATTTATGTCTTTGAACGATTCATACCGCACGGAAATCGACAGTCGAATTCAACCGACTGCATTTCAGAGCGAACTTTTGACGAGGTGGAAAAATAGTCGTTGGATTAAGGTAATTAAAATCCAATTAATAATTTAATCAACGACAGGGTCCGATAAAACGAGGACGGAAAGGAGGACACGGCGGAACCGTGGCAAAACGGGATACACGTGGTTGACGCGCTACGACATAATTCCTTAGGAATTTCGAGAAAAGTTTCGGTCGTTTTAACAAAAAGTTACGCGGCCCAATTAAATCAGCCGACGATCCAATTCAATTTCAGTCGGGGGTGTAATTAAATCTCCGACGAATTAGCGAAAGATTTCGGCGACTCGAGTAAATTTCAGTGGAAATTAAATTTTTGACGAGTCAACAAAACTTTTCTCATCTCCAGGCCGCGACCGGCGTGCAACCGTCCCCGCTTCTGCTCGCTTTTCCACTGTGTTACACAACCCCTTCGCGCGCCCACTTTCCCACCCGCATACTGAAAAAAAGAGTTTTGCTCCGCGCCAGAGACTAAATCATATGAAGTGAATCGAAGCGTGATACGCGAAAAACATACAGATCGCGTTGTGTAGGTACAATGGAATTATACGATGCCGAAGTTCAATATTGTCGGCGTAAATAAATCGCGATGAATAGACTGCGAATTTTTATGCACGTGGGAAATTTGATAGGGGAAAAAACGTTCACAATACACAAAAATATAAAAATGATCATTCAAACAGAGGCACTGAAGAGATCTCGAAGAGAGAATCATCGTAAGATGTAGTGGGTGAAATAAATCATTATATAGGTCCCGTACCTTTAATTACCTTAATAAAAATATGAAACTCCATAAAAATCATAATTGCGATTTAGTAATAAGTTTAAAAAGAGCACTGGGAATGAGTATCGTATATGTGAATATCGTATGAAATTTGAATTATTTTCATAATTATTACATAATAAATTTTGTATTTTATATTAATTAAATTTACATTTTAATATTTACTTAATAGTCATAAGCTGCAGCCTTATTAAATATTTAGCACTTTCCTCAAAAATCAGTTGAACGAAACGATCACTTATCTCCAAAAGAAAAAGATCTTGAGCAGATAGCTTTAGAGTTAGGCAGGGAAAATTGATTCACGCAAATGTAACACGTGAAAGTTTGATATGATAAAAGATACAGCATGTTTCTTCGTTAAATTATCTTGTATCAGTGCAATGGAATTACACGATGCCAGGATTTCCCTACCGTTCGCCATAAAGAATGGGTTTCCAACGTAAAGTGCGATTAGAGGGGGTGCGTGCTTCGAGGTGAATGACGATGGTGTACGCGTACGCGTGTACATGCCAGAGTAAATGTTCTTAATGACGGTCAGTGCGTTACGAGAATGGGTTATAGCGGGAACAATGAGTTGAGCGAGCATTCACTGACTTCGTAAAGCGAATGTTTATGGATAGAATGGCGAGAAAACGTCGTATAGAGGCGTGCAGATCGATTATTCTACGCAAAGTTATTGTGACTGCGTTGATGTACCTTACAATGTACAAGGTGTTTCTATTGTCGAAGGAAACATTGGGCATTGTTTTTTCGCAACCCCAGTAGATTGATAGAAAATTGTATTAATTACCAGAAGTAAACTTCAAATTACACGGCTGGTTATGATTCTTTCGCGATAGAATATTAAAATATGTTCTTCGTATATTATGCATGACAACAATTATTCAGATAAATTTTAAGTGTAATTAAATATATATAAAGCAATAAATATTTACAGTAAGAGGCTCTAAAAAGTGGAAATTTAGATGAGATCTCGTGATTCAACTTTACGTTTAAGCATTCATTTTTATGTGACTATAAACATCACTCGCTTCAA